CTCGCCTATAACTTATTTAATTTCACATCTCAGCAAATACAGCATTATTTCTCCAATAGAGTTGGCTTCTGATAGAATCACTCTACTGGTTATTTATCATACATATCTGTCATTGAATTACCTATTGCAGTAGTATGATTTACTCAATTGTACATAAAAATGTAACATAAAATAACATTTTTCCTGTGTATACTCCTTCATTATTCTACATGAACCCTAGGTTAGCCAATTCTACAGAAATTCAGTGACAAATAATGGGTGGACGATGGGAAGATAAAAGATTAGTGGGCTCATGACCTTTCGATAACAAAAGAAATTCATCCTCTAAAAAAATTATTCTTTTAAAATAGTTTTTTTTTCTCAAGTGGTAATCAGGAAACCAATTCTAGGAAACCAATAAGGAAAAAAAGAGTTTAAAAATAGAATGATTTTATTTTTTCCAAATACAACAATACTATGTCAGTACATTTTAAAACGTAGGAAAGGGAAATAAAGTGTGCTTGTCTTTGCTCTTGTCAAACCACCATTAATCTTGGACCAAAAAAGAAGGAGAAGAAAGAAGATGACAACAGCAATTCCTTTGGGAAAATTTTCTGTGTTCTTGAGCCCACTGTTGGGTTACCCTTTTTTTTTTTTACATTTCACGCACAAGGTGAAATATGACTTGTTTTTGAAGTTGCCTGGCTTCAAAATACTCTGTGAAATGGACAGCCAGGTTTTCTTAGCTATACAGTCTTTTAGTTGGCAAAGATTGTGTCAATACTCGTATGTTGAAATAAATTACCTATTATCCAATACCTTCCCTTGGATCAAGTTTTCATTTGTTTTGTTCTATTTGGCTTCAATTTTGAATCAAAGCAAGTCTTGAGTAGTCTCATTTATATTGAAAAGTTTGTCTATGTCTATTCTAGCTTACTTTAATTTTGCTTTTTCTTCTTTTCTCCCTATCAGAAATTGATTTTGTATATCTGGATAACCAATTCTTTAAAAGTTCATCTGAAAAATATGCTGTATATTTACCAAGCATACCCACATCTGTTTCTCCAAAGTGCTTCCCAGCAACCACATCTCACCCGCTGAATTTATCCCCAAGTTGCTCCCAATCTATATAGGAATTGGAAACAGGAGATTGCCCCCTATCTATAACAGATCATCTCTGCAGGGCAGCAGAGTGATAAAAACCTAATTTTCAACCAAACTTCTGCATCTCAATTTTAAAAAGTTGCTGAGAACATATGTGAAATTATCTATGTTGTCAACTGTACTCAAGACAACTGAAAGTACTTATAGATGTTCATTTTATGATTCAAGAAAACAATTAACTTTCTTGATATAAATTTGCAAGTAGATGCAGGTGAGCAGAAACGTACAAGGTTTCACTTTAGACACTTTGTACTGAGTTGTAACTCAATTTGTTAGACACCATAATTTACATTTTAAATATTATTTAACACATAAAAACTTGTCACCTTGGTATAATTATACCCCAAGCAATTTGTCTGGGTAACTATAGCAACAATTGCAGAAACAGTTTAAAATACAAAATTGGTATAATTTTAGAATCAAGAATTATGGAGGATTTATTGCAGGATGTAGGGCTGCTGTACTCAAATAGTTGTACATATACTACTATGAAAATGGATTCCTTGACTGGGATATATTATAAACTCATTTGTTCTGTCTTGCACACCATCTGCTTTGTAACTCAAACCTCTTCATTGGGATGAGTTTTTGATGTTAGTTAATTGTAGAGTTCATGATTACTTGTCTACATAATACAATGCCTTTATACTTTTGGCTGGACATTTAGCAAAGGTTTTCTGCCCCTCCTCCACATCTTCCTGTATCAAAAGAAAAGACTCAGTTTCAATGACTTTATGACCAAAAAAGAAATCATTGGAAACTCTTCAAACTCATCACCAAGTTAAGTAAAACTGTGTCACGATTCAGATACGCAGCTCTCTCTAACATCAGGAGCATCTGACATCGTCCCCAAAGAGCTGGCATCTGTTATTTTGGGCCCCTAGCACACAGCACAGAGAAAGGCTTGTTGGTTGTAACATTTGTCCTTCAGCAAGAGGCTAACATGACTCTGGAACTAAATTTCTTACTGCAAATCCACGGATGGGGCTTCAGAAGGCACCTGACTCTCTAAAATTTATGCAGAAGTTTGGATAAATGTGTTTGTATTTATTTTGGTCTCGTGGTCAATACGTTTTAACAGCCTCGGTGCTGTAAGTTTCTGTGTTTCATTCTCGCAAGACACGTGATGAAATCATTGTAAAGGGAAACGGCAGTGAAGAACACAGGCTTATTTTAACCAAATTCTGAACATCTCAAAAATTTCTTTTGGACAGAGACAAGCTTTACCACCCAGGAGACCAAAGCCTTTGCTCGCAGCAGGGATCTCGCAGCTGTTTGACATTACAATAACCAAATGAGTTAGTGCAATTCACAAAAGACATCAAATGATTAGCATCATCTGTCTTCTCCCTGTTAATAAAAGTACATATTGGCTAAAAGCACATAAAAATAGATGTCAGTTTGTCACCCCCATGCTTCAATGTGTATACAAATGCTTAGCGTGACCTCACGGAGCAATGTGGATGAGCAAGCTTCTATAACCAAAGTTTTTAAAAGAAAGAAACTCAAGGAAAAAAACATCTGTGTTTCAAGTGAACCAAACAATTACACTTAGGGCTGTTTTTTCATGAAAAACAAACATAGAAAAAGAAATCTTTTGGAAGGGAAAAAAATCCATGTTTCTTTTGGTGTAAATACAGGCACAGACAAGAAAGTTATTTCAGTTATACATAACTTAAAGGTATTATCCGCCTTAACTGAAACTGTATAAAGTGGTCAGGATAAACATTACACTCTCTAAAATAATGAAACTGGCATTAATTAGCAACAAATTTAGCAATCCTAATTAGGTATTGAAAAATCTTTCTTATTAAAGTCTGGTTTTGTGTTTCTGTCTCCTTATGAACAGACTACCTCTATAATTAATAACATATCTGCTGATTCCAAACTCAGCCATTAGGATAGAGCTCTTCTGGGTAAGCTAGACGTAAAACTTGTCTTTCTTCAAAACGAACTAGAACAATCATTTGTGACTCCTGATGTGTTAACTAAAGTACCCCTAAAAAGCAGAACGGTATGAAACAAAGCTCACGCTATCTTCCCTCAATTTCGATTTCTTTCTGAGTAAATGCAACAGTCACAAGGAAGACAGATGTCCAGACAAGGAAGAGTTTACAGGGATCTTCTTCTCTGGAAGAGACCTTTCTAGTTAGAGCACTTAGGTCTGGCCGCCACCTTTCCTGTCCCCTCTTCTAGCAAGGCTGACAGCTCTCTATAGCCACCGGATCAGCTCCCCCAACCCCCGGCCCCCAAAATGAAATTACTACAAGATCTGCCTGGTTCTGCTGTTTGTTGCCTGGGACTCCCGCCCACTCGCCCAGGACCCAGCAACTGCCTGTGGCGCCTGGTCCTCAGAGCGCTCGCTCGCAGCGCCCCCTGCCGGGAATCCCGAAGACGCCGCAGGCGCAGGAAAGTTAAATCCCAACTCTGGCCGCGGCGTCCAGGTACAAAGCAAGCAAAGGGCTAGGAGGTGAAGGCGCTTCCCGCCAAAGCCCAGGGAACCAGGATGTGACCACGCCAAGCCAGGCACCGGGCGCCGCGGGGAGCGAGCCGCGGGAATCACTCCTCCACGACTGTTCCCACGCACATCTTGGGAAAAACCGTTCCCTCTGGGGCCCAAAACCCTGAGCCAGGGTTTGTAAAAATCCGTGGAGCAGCGGAGGGATACCTGGGGAAAGGCGCTTTCCTAGCTGCAGCCCACCTGGCTGGTGGTTCCCCAGGCCTCTGCACCCCGCCTTAGTATCTTTCATTAACCAAGGCGCTTGGCGGAGTTGAGCCCAAGTCCCACCGCCTCCCGGTTCCCCTGTAAGGATAGCAGGAAAACCTGCCCAAGCCGGCGAGGCTGCGAGGTAGCGGCTCGCGGACCGCCAAGTCCCGACCTCCGTGTCCCCCGCCCCCGGCTCCCGGCAGTGGGAGCCTGGAGGCGCGCGGGTGCGGACACAGACCAGTGTGCGCACCTTTCCGGGTGTTGGGCAGGGGTCACGTCTCGCCCACCGCGACGCTCCGGCTCCTTACCTCTCCATGCTCAGACCTCGGCACAGGCGGGTACACAAACTTCCAACCCGTGCACTAGCTCAACTGTGGGCGCCCCCGGACTGACGGTGGTCCTAATCCTGTACGCGGAACCCCAGCCCAGGTGCTTGCTGATGGATCCCACCCGAGATCGGCACCACCCACCAGCCGACGGCTGCAGTCTCCCGGTACCGGCCAGCGGCGCGGCGCGGCGCGGTCAGGGGCTCCGGCCAAGGCCACGCAGGGATCGGGCGGGGGTCGCTCACCAGGTGCGGGGCGCGCTGGTGCCAGTCATCCAGTGCCTGGGGCCAGAGCGGCTCCGAGGATCCTCTTCAGCACCTGGCTAGGGAAGTGGAAGCAGCAGCTGCAGCCGCCCCCTACTCGCTGCGCTCCAGAATGGGGGCACCCGCTTGGGGGCCACGAGAACAGTCCCCGAGCGCGTAGCCAACCGGTGGGTGGGCAGGTTCGCGCCCAGCAGAGACGACCCGCGAAGTGGCAAAGTTGGGTTTCTGAGACAGCTCCGCAGGGCAGTCGCGGGTGGGAGAGGGGAGCGCCCCGGGATAAGTCACACTGGCCGGGCCTCCCCTGCAAAGGGAAGGTGGAGGGCCGGGGCTGCAGCGGGCCAGGGGCTGCGAAGCCCACCCGCGGCGGGAAAGCAGCGCTCGGGAGCGGGCGCAGCGAGAGCAGCCGCCACCGGCGCCGCCTTCCCGGCGAGTAGATCCGCGCGGGGCGAGCGGGCGCGGAGAGCGCGGGGCGGGGAGCGCGGGGCCTCCTGGGCCCGCCCCCGGCCCCGCCCCGCCCCCGCCCCCGCCCCCGCCCCCGCCCCCGCCCCCGCCGCCGCGCCTCCTCCTCCTCCTCCTCTTCCTCCCTGCCGGGGTGAAACTCCAGCGCCGCACCCGCGCCTGACCTCCCCGAGCCCCGCCCCTTCCCGGTACGGGACCCCCACCTTCGCTCCCGGGAGCCCCGCTGCACCCCAGAGTTCCATTCCTGCTTCCCCAGTGCGAGTGCGGCCGAGCGCTGACTTTTGGGGGCTCCCTTCCCCGTCTCACTGGGTCCCTCTGCGGCTCCCCCGCCCGCTGTCCCGCCTCAGACGTGGCTGCACCCCGGAGCGGGGCGCCGGCCGAGACCTGAGACGTGGCGATGCCGCTCTGCCGGCCTCGGCTCCAGGTACGTGCTCTTCCCTCGGCTGAATCTGGCCCTGGGTTTGGGGGGCAGGGGCCGTCTGGTCCTCCGGAACTCGAACTTTGTGATTTTGTTCTTTCTGTGTGACACCCTCATCCGTTCTGAGAGTGAAACTCCTTAAAGAAGACGAGAGAGTCAGTCGTTGCGGGTTCTTGGAGGAGCCCTTTGGGGGTGAGCCTCCCGGCTAGTTTGGGTCGATTTCAGAAGGTTGAAGTCCAGGAAATGAACAAATCTGACGAATCAAGGAGGCAGGTGGAGGGGTCCCCAGGTAGCCACGCTGAGCGTTAAGAGAGAAGTCCCGTATGGTCAAAGTCATTCGTCCAATTCTGAGCCGAATATTCCTTGTTGCACTTTTGCAGGATCTTTGGGCCTTACTAAGTACTCAGGTGAAAAGTTTCTAGTTGGAAAGCGAGTAAAGTACCTTTGAAGACGTGTATAATTGGATACTTTGTTGCAGGTTTTCAGCTTCTGAAGCAGGCGGTGGGGGAGAGAGGGAGGTTGTCAGCCTCGCGAAAAGAGCAAATGGTAAAGTTATAGGAGTATAAGGTATAAAACTTGGGTGCGGAGTCCTGACTGGCCTTGAGTGACCCTTTCCCGCTGGATGGGGGTACGGGACAGTATCTCTGGGCCCTTTTTTCTCCATCTGCACCTCAGAGGGAGGCTTGAAGGTCCCTGCATGAAGAAACGCGTGAATTGCCCTCTCCTAACCGCAGTGAGGTAGGGACCCGGTAAGGACCCGTGTTCACACCAGCGCCCAGCCGGTGGTGGGTTATGGATGGGCCTCGCTGGTCCTGGGCATGGTCCGGCGCGTCCATAAGGGTTCCACGGAGCTCATCAATAAAACAAAGAAGCTGTTGCAGGCTGCAGGGTGTCATAGCTCTCGCACAGTAGCCATGCAGACCTGAGAGGACAATGGAAATACAAATTGCCATCGATGTGTCTATTTTCTAGAACTTTTTTTTTAATAAAAGAGTTAAGTGAAAGCAGTTCCGAAGGTTTCTATGAAAGCCCAGCCCATCCCCAAATGCTCAGTTTCTGGCACGTGTGATCTGGCTGTCTTGGGTACTCAGCCCTTACTGGGATTTCCTTTAAGGCCTCTGGGAGGAAGTGTCAGTAGCCGGCAGGCCTCCTTGGCAAGCATTTCTCCCTGGGTTGTGGCGGGGGCTCCTGGCCTGCTATGTGGCAGCTGCAGGCTCCTGGGGACCTGAACGAAAAGCTTAACCGTTCTCCCTTCCCTTGCTTGGCACTTAGGACACTAGTTCCATTCCAGACATTCCGATTCTCTTGCCTACGTGGCACAGAGGCCTAGGAGCCTCCCTGTGAGGCAGAGGCAGGCCAAGGTCTTGCCTGGCTGCTTCTAGAGGGGAAGATGTAGGGAGGAAGCTGCCTTCTGCTTGGATTCTGCAGCCTTTGCATGGACCTGTGGAGCCTATGTGGCCAGGGTGAAGGAGACAGAAATTAGAACCCAATGTATTCAGCTAATCCTCTTCTTGCCTCTGAACATTGCAGTTAATACTTTAAAAGAAAAAGAAAAAGAAAAAATTCTTGGCATATAGAGCTAAGCAGTGGGAAGAAGATAGCTTTCTACAGCATAACCCAGTAGGTCTGATAACATAACACTTAACTGGATAAATTCTGTAATTTTGTGTGTATGCAGGGGGAGAGTTGAATTCAGTTTTGCTGTTTACAGGCTGCACCAATGCTCTGTTAAAAGATGTATATTTTAGTGATAATTACAAAATAATTGCTAATAAGCAAGTAAATAAACCAAATTATAATTTAGAGTGCATCCTTTGTTTAAAGTGAAATGGATCTAAATTGAGGATGTAATTTTGAGTTTTAACCTGGGGAAAGTTCTTTTTATTTATTTATTTTTTTGAGACGGAGTCTTGCTCTGTCGCCCAGACTGGAGTGCAGTGGCGCGATCTCGGCTCACTGCAAGCTCCGCCTCCCGGGTTCACGCCATTCTCCTGCCTCAGCCTCCTGAATAGCTGGGACTACAGGCACCCGCCACCACTCCGGGCTTTTTTTTTTTTTTTTTTTTTTTTGTATTTTTAGTAGAGACAGGGTTTCACCAGGTTGGCCAGGATGGTCTGGATCTCCTGACCTCGTGACCTGCCCGCCTCGGCCTCCCAGAGTGCTGGGATTACAGGCGTGAGCCACCACACCCCGCCAACATGGGGAAAGTTCTTTACCTTTTCTCAGCTACAGTCTCTTCACCAGGAGCTTAGACACACCAGCCTGGCAGGGGGATGTCAGTTGTCTGCTTGAAAGGAGAAAGACAGTAATCTGTGTAAAATACTCACCCAGCCCCCAACATATAAGCAGGCTTTCCATAAACAAAGTCATTTTGAGGTATATACAAGTATTTCTTTTTTCTAAACAAAATTTTTCTTTTTTTTTTCTTTGTAAAGGTCTTACTTGCTAGAAAGCTATCTGAATTACGCTGCTTCTCATCACATAAAACTAAGGATGATCATTTTTAAACAAACAAACAAAAATATTTAGTTCTCTTCTTTTCAAAATAAAATACAGCTTTCCCCAAACTGTTTTAGGTGAGCCATGCACACAATGTGAAAGAATGAGGAAACCAACAAAACACTTGGTGAAAATGATGAATTCTGGGGCGCTGATTCATGTGACTTGAAAAACGCCATCCATTTCCTGATTCACCTCACTTCTGTTCGGAACTATGAAAGATCACTTACATTTCTGTACTAATTGACCAATTTTGTCTTGTCTTTACTTCCCTCCCTAGTGCTTGAATTTCAGCCACATCCCTAAGCTGCCATCTCAGACCAGAGGAACAGGGAGGGGGCTTTCTGGAAAGAACATCACCTGGAAGAAATCAGGACATGACTGTGGGCCATGAGTGACCTTCAAGGAAAGCCAGGTATCTGTGGTATTTAAGATGTGGTAAGATTGTATTAAAATTATAGAAAAAACCTCAATCCAGAAATCGTGGCCTCTTGACATTTACATCTTAACTGGATTTTCCTGCCAATGAGACACATTACAATCATCCTCCATGAGTGTTCTCTTTTTACCTGTCTTCATTCTTTTAGATCCATGACATTTAAGAACTGAAGAAACGAAAAGATTGTCTGATCAGTCCCATCGGTCTTTTTCCTAATGCTAAACATTGATACAAAGATGTGAAGTTTGATGTCTCACTAAGACTGCCTAGTGCTGCTTTATTGCTCACCTACTTCAAAGTATTGGGAAAACATGATTATGGGTACAGGTGAGGCTGGGTTGCACCCAAACAGGTTTCTTTTGTCGGATTCTTTTGATGGATTAGGAATCTACAAGTGGGGAGATTTAAGGGAAATAGCCCCTACACTTGCATTTTCTTTACGTCTTTAGGGTTCTCTTACCCTGAGAAACACGCATTCCTCTTTAGTGTAGCAGCCCACTCTATTGGCAAAGTTAAGCAGACTAGTTTTATTTAAAAAGAGCCACCCAGAACCTTAGACAGATAGAAAATACTTGAGGCGCAGATGAGAGTGAGCACAAATGTGCATAGCACATGCAGTTTCCTGGCCCTTAAACTGAAGGGCCACGTCAGTCTGCTCCTCCAGGCACAGCCTGGGACCCCATCATGTGCCCGGCTCTGCAGTCTGAGCTTCTACTCAAGTCCACCAAGGCCTGCCTCACACAGCCCATGTCTGGTCAGAGGGTTGCACTTTGCCACTGCCATATGTTCCCAGAGGTTGGCACAGCATGACCTGGACCTCACCTAACCCAGGCAAACTCGGCTCATCTTTGAGCTCTGTGGAACCCATTTCTCACGGAAGAACCACATTTCCGCACCTCACAGCCATGTTCAAGGAAGCAGCCTGGGTAAAGCAATGACTCAAGGATACAACAAGCAGACCACACAATTAACAAGACGTGCTGACTCGCAGGAGCAGCTGGGGGAGGGTAGGTGTCGTTTTCCCTGTTTATTTTTTTTCTTAAGAAGAGTTTACTGATTCTTCTTTCAGTACGGGCCTTTTAATAAGATACTGTGCTTTACTTCAGCTACGTGTGCAGAAAATTAAAGGATTCTAGAAGTCTGAAAGTGTTTTGCCTTGTCCTCTTGGTTAAATTTCTGGCTATATTGTCTAGCAACTCAATTTGCTTAAACAAAATTGGTGTGTCGAAAAAGCCCAAGTCATCTTTTATAAGTATGGTCTGGGGAGAAGAAAAAGAAAATGCTAAGTTTAAAAGATTTTTGGACTATCTGAAGAAAATACAGATAGCTTGTGGCATGGAGATAAAGCCTCGGGATGGTTTCCAGGCTGTTATTTTCTGACATTGAGTCTTGTATATATCTTGAATGTCTATAAGCAAAGAATGGCTATACATTTTTTTTAAAAGATATGTTTTATACTTATTAATCAATGTCCTCTCTGTTCCTCTGCCTTTGAAAATAGAGCTTTGGGGAAAAATAAGTACCTTTGGAAATATGTTTTCAAAAATAATATTCATCCTGCTTAGATTTAGAAGCACAGATTGCTCTGCCTTAGTTTATTTCATTATTTGCCAGAGAGATTAACTCAAAATAACCTTGAGTTAATGAAAAGATGGTTTATTAAGTGAAATTAAATCCAAAAGTAAAATGTCTCCTGAAGCAAATCCGTAGAAAGAAGAGCCATCAAGGATCCAGGGGGCCCTCCATCAAGTGCTGTTTCAGACCCTCCTTTCCATTCCAGTCTCGTTGCCATAATTCACAGTGTCAGTGTCTCTCACCCAAAATACCAACACCTCCTCTTATTGTCTCCCTGACTCCAGTTCCAGTGATCATTCCCCAGTCAGCAGCATCACACCCACCCCTCACACACACATCGTTATCATCATTACCCTTAATAACACAGACCTGATTTTATTTGAATTGGAAACCACTTGGCTTTAAAAAAAAATCTCCCTTGCAGCTAGGTGAGGCCATAGAACTCAGCCATAACCCATAAGATGTAAGTGGAGTAGGATTCTAAGACAGGCTTTGTAAAAGGGAGCAGACAACTAAATGGGCATGATCTTTCCTGTCCTTCTCTCGTAGGTCTGGATTCCCACCTGGAAGTTGATTGTGATGGTGGAAATACCAGGCACTTGTCGGGTGCAACGGCTCATGCCTGTAATCCCAGCACTTTGGGAGGTCGAGGTGGGTAGATCACCTGAGGTCAGGAGTTTGGGACCAGCCTGACCAACATGGTGAAACCCCATCTCTACTAAAAATACAAAAATTAGCCAGGCATGGTGACACGCACCTGTAGTCCTAGCTGCTCGGGAGGCTGAGGCAGGAGAATCTCTTGAACCAGGGAGGAGGAGGTTGCAATGAGCCAAGATCATGCCACTGCACTCTAGCCTGGGTGACAGAGGGAGACTCTGTCCCAAAACAAACAAAAAATGAAATGCCAGGCACCAGTTTAGACTCTTGAGGATATAAGTTATGAGCCAAGGATAATGGTGTAAAAAGTAGCCTAAATCCCTTGTGACTCCATGGAGCCCCTGCCTCAGCCCTGAATTACCTAACCCCAGACTTCATGACCTGAGAAAGAAAGAACTTTCTGTTTTGCTTTAGCCATCATTGTTTCTGTTCTGTTTTTAGCAGGACAATGTGATTCCTTACTGATAGAGGGAATTCAGTTCCTCCAGGTCTGGCAGCCCTGAAGCTTCATCCCTCAACATTGCGGCCTATGCAGCCAGTGCCCCTCCCCCTTTCTCCCACCCGGCTTTCCCATCTGCAACCAAGCTTGTTGCACACCATGTGCCAGACGTACGGCTGCACATTCAAAAGAGAATGAAAAGACACACAGAGGCGATCCCTGCCCTTTCAGAAGTTACAGCTTACCGAGTTACAGCTTACTGAGTTATGGAACCCACAAGTATGTAATTCTAAACCCTGATACATGCTATGAAGGACAAATATATGGGTGTCTGGTTTAGTCTGGGGGATGGGAGAGGCATCACTGAAAAAGTAGCATTTGAGATGAGAGTTGAAGGAAGAGTAGAGACCAGCAAGAAAGTGGGAAAGATAAAGGATGAGAGTAAGACTCCAGAAAAGGGTGGAAATGGTGATTAACTTTGGAATTTAATTCAAACACACTTGTTAAAGTATCAAGGATAGTAATAGTAATTGCAAATGAATAGCAATAGATACTGTCATAGTCCATTTCAGGCTGCTATAACAAAACGCCTTAATTCTCAGTAACATCTAAACAATTGCAATTTATTTATCACAGTTCTGGAGGCTGGAAAGTTCAAGATCAAGGCACCAGCAGGTGAAGGCAGAGTCTCTGCTTCCAAGATGGTGCCTCGTTTCTGCGTCCTCTGGAGGAGAGGAACACTGTGTCCACACATGGCTGAAGAGCTGGATGGAGAAAAGGGCCCAGCTAATTCCCTCCAGCCCTTTTACAAGCCGCTAATCCCACTTATGAGATCACAGCCCTTACAGCCTAATCACCTCCGAAAGGCCCCACCTCTTAATACTGTTGGATTGAGAATTAACTTTCAACATGAATTTTTGGGAGGATACAGTCAAACCATAGCATTCTTCCCCTGCCCCCTCGAAATTCATGTCCTCATATAGAAAATTCATCCCAAAATTGATAACTTATTGCCAAAATTCTTAACGTGTTCCAGCATTAACTTTAAAGTCTTAAGTCCAAGGTCTCATTTAAACATGATCTATATCAGATACAGCTGAGACTGAAGGTACAATTCATCCTAAGGCAAACTCCTCCAGCTCTGAGCCTATGAAATCAAACAAGTGATGTGCTTCCAAAATACGGTAGTGGTACAGGCATAGGATAACATTCCCATTCAGGAAGGGAGAAATGGGCAAGAAGAAAGTGTCACAGGCCCCATGGAAGTCCAAAACCCAACAAGGCAAACTGTTAAATCTTGAGGTTTGAGAATGGTCTTTTTTGAGTCCATGTTCATCCGTACACACTGGGGCAAGGGTTGGACATCCAAGGGTCCAACCAGCCCTACCCCCATGGCTTTGCTGGGCACAGCCCATGCTGTAGCTCTCACAAGTTGGAGTCTAGTGCCTGTAGCTCTCCTAGGCTGGCATTGCACACTGGTGGCTCTACCAGTTTGGGATCTCGGGGGCAACCCTGACCCCACAGCTCTGCTGGTCATTACCCTAGTAGGCACCCTCTGCACCTATCTCACCTTTGGGACAGTGCTCTGGGCTCTCCAAGACATCTTTTGAAATCTACATGGAGATAGCCATGACTCCACAGCTCATACACTCTATATAAATGCAGAGTTGGCACTTCAAGAATGTCACCAAGGCTTATTACTTGTACCTTTCAGAAGGGTGGCCCAAGCCACATCTGAGCCCACTTGAGCCCCAGCTGGAGCAGCTAAAAAGCACTGTGTTAGAATGCGGGGAACAAATATCTGAGGAGGCCGCAGGCAGTGAGCCCTGAGGTGCCACAGGTGCCCTGGGCCCCTCCCTTGAAACCTTTCTGACTTGAAGGCCCTGGTACTCTGGGATCATGATGGGAGCGGCAGCCTCAAAGATTGAAATGCCTCTGGAATCATTCTTCTATTATCCGGATAAATAGCGTCTGGCTTCCTTATAGCCACACTAATATCATATCAAACGTTATGTTTGCTTAGCCATGCCCTTGGTATTCTCTGAATATTCATTTGCAATTACTATTCAGAGGGCTGAGCATGCCCTTTGAACCTTTACAACCTGGAAAGACTGAAAATTTTCCATATCTTTAAGTTCTGCTTCCCTTTTTATTGTAAATTCATTTTTAATTCATTTCTCTTCTCTTGCATTTTATGATAAACAGTCAAGAAAAGCCATGTAGTACCTTGAACACTTTGCTTAGAGATTTCTTTCACCAAATATCCTAGTATATCACTCTTAAATTCTGCCCTCCACGGAGCACTAGAATGCAGACACAATTCAGCCAAGTTCTTTGCCACTTTATAACAAAGATAGCCTTTCCTCCAGTTTCCAGAACATTTCCATCTGACACCTCACCAAAATGACCTTTAGCATCCATATTTCTACCAACATTTTGATTACAATCTTTTACATAATCTCCAAGAAGACTGAGGCTCTGTCTATAACTCTTCTTCTGAGCCTTTACCTTTGACAGTCCATTTATGGAAATCTAGGCTTTTTCTAGCCTACTTTGCCAAACTCAGCCTCTACCCATTACCCAGTTCCAAAGTTGCTTCCACATTTTCAGGTATTCACTACAGCAGCACCCCACTACTCATTACTAATTTCTGTTTTAGTTCATTCCAGGTTGCTATAACAAAAACCTTAAGCTGGTTACTTTATAAATAATAGAAATATATTTCTCATGGTTCTGAAGACTGAGAAGTCCAAGATCAAATCACCAGTAGGTTCAGTATCTGGTCATTGCTTCCAAGGCAAAATTAATCCTTATTTTATTATCAGCATTCCAGTGAATAGAAGAATCATAGGCCAAATACTAACAAATTCAAGGATGTTTTATCATTAGAAAATATGCTAATATAAATCACCTCATCAACAAATTTTTAAAAAACCATATGATTATTTCAATAGCTGCAGAATATGTTTTGATAAAATTAAACATGTGTTTGTCATTCAAAAAAAAAACCTCTTAGCTAACTAGTAATAGAAGGGAATTTACCTAAATTGACAGACTATCTACCAAAAAAAAAAAAAAAATCAACAAAAAACTTGTTATTTAGTGGTGAAAAGTCTTAGGCATTCAATTGAAAGAGAAGATCAAGACAACCTGTACTTTCAGTCACTGTTGTTGAAGAGAAATATCTGTAAGGACAAATCAAATCTCCTTATGGATATTTCTCTTCAACATCTAAACAGTGATTGAAAAGGGAAAAGTTAACTTTCAATTTCAGATGATATAATTGTATCTAATAAAGACACTTAGGAAAATCTGCATATCAACAATTAGAATAAAGAGAAAGTTCTATTAAGTTCTGAAAGACTTTTGTGAAAAAATTATAAAGCTAAATTTAAATCCTAAAGAAGAACAAAATAAATGTATGCTATTCCACATTGATGTATTGGAAGATTCAGTATATAATACCTTGAATATAAAATATTCATACAGAAATATCCATGCTACCCAAATTTATCCTTCAATACAATGTATATCTCATCAAAATCTCAACTGGCTTTTTACAAAACCTAACATCCTAAAGTTTATAAGCAAAGCAAACACAAATTTCCATAAGTGATTAAGGAATGTCTGTAGATTAGGAACAAGGTTGATAAGCATCATATCAATATTGTTCATAGGGCTATAGAAATTAAGACATGGAGATATTGACCCAGGGACAGACATAGAGAATAATAAACAAATCCTATAAACAGACCCACATAGACCCCCTCTTGAGTGACATGTGACAAAAGAGGTATGGTGGCTCTCTGGGGAAAAAAGGTACTCAATAGATGGGCCTAAGACAATTGACTACTCATATGTAAAAACAGTGAATTAGTACCCCCCCTCTTAAGCTATTTATAGAACAACTTCAAATTAGTTTAAAGCAAAGTGAGAAACAAAACATTACTTACGAAAACCTACAAGACACTATCTGTATGACCACTGGATGGGAAAGCAGTTCTTAAAACAAGATACAAAGACTAGCCATAAAGAAAAAGAAATCAATACAGTAAACAACATTAAAGTTTAGAACTTCCATATGATGATATACAACTTAAAAACAAGCCATAGCCTAGGGGAATTTTCAGTGCATACAAATGACAAAAGATGGTAGGCAAAATATATTTTCAAAGTCCTACCAATCCATTGGAAAAGGACAAAGCAAAAACTGTACAAATGAAACAAGAAGCTCAATGGCCAATAAGTATAACAACACAAGCTCCCCAATAATCACGGAAAGTCAGTTAAAACCAGGATGCATCATTTCATACCAATCAGAGCAGCAATAATGAAAAATATCTGACAATACCAGCTGTTATCAGATGTTGGCAAGGGAACCTTTAGAGGTGTAAGTTGGTACAATCACTTGGGAAGGCACTGTGGCCACTCTTGCAATGTCTAAAATGTACATTCCATGCAGTGCAGTTGACAAGGTTGCAGAAGGAACATGTAGTATACTGCCAGTTTATATAAAGTATGTAAACCAAAAAATCAGATCTATATTTTATGGATACATGCACAGTAGTAAAATAGCACAGAAATGATAAATAATAAATTCAGTAATATGGCAAGGGAGGGAAAAGGGAGATTGTGCAAAGATCATCAAAGGCCACCAACTTTATCTTTGATTCTGTTTTCCACTAAAATGGAAAAAAAAATGCAGCAAATAATGAAAAATGTTAAGATCAGACAGAGATGCTTTGGTGGGTGTTCATTAGATTATTATCCTTTTCTGTATGCTCAGAAGATTTCATAATTCAATAGAGAGGGTTAATAGGAAGGAAGAAAGTGCAGACAGGAGGTGGAAACTCATTAGAACAGTTTTGTCCTGAAGAGAAACAAATAAACTGATAGCAGGTGGACCTGTGCACATAGGGTTGTATTCCACAGTGGGTCATTGGAAGCATGTTTATATGTTGGTTGAGATAACTCCATGTACAGTGAGAAAGTGTCTACATAATAGAGAAATAAGATAACTCCCGGAACGAAGGCTTTGGAAAGGTAAGAGTTCACAGGAGTTCGTTTGGAGACAGTAGAGCCCCCGCCTTGAATGGTCGTTGGAGTAGGAACCAGGGAGACCAGGTAGAGGTAGAAATGGATTCTTCAGTGGTGCAAATTGTTCGAGGGCTTGCTGCCCTGGGGGCTTATGTTTTAGTAATGAAGTATGAGGCTAGATTTGGGTGGGGAGTAGGGAAAAGACATGAATGTTAGAAAAGAGAAGAGAAACTATGAAATGGACATCTTGGAAATCAGGCAAACAAACTTACTGGGAACGTGTACTGGAATGTCATGCGGTATTGGATGACCAGTCAAGGCTCATGGTAATCACCCTAAAGTGAACCCCATCAGCATATTTGTGGGATTTTCTCGAGGAACATTCGGTAGCTCAGGCACCGGTGTGGATAACATGGATGATTGATTCCAACCAGGAGGTGGCATCCCCACACAAACCGGAGAGAGGAACAGAAAAGTCGAGGATGTCTGCAGGGAGGCGACTTTAAGGATGGTCACACAATGTAAGCTAACAAGGAGGACACAGGGAGAAAAAGGATCATAGTTTCAACAGACTGGAGGACTAGATGAGGTCCAGAATCCGAATGTTTACTTATGGTCCAAGATGTGTTCATGATAGTAGGAGCTACAGTGGAATTACTGTTGTTAGAGGAGAGGACAGATGGCCAGCCTCCTAGAGGTGTAATCAGTATAGATGTTTAAGTCAGCAAAAAGAAACTTCAGTGAACAAAGCAATGTGACACAGGACGTTCAACAGACAACAGCCACAAGTAAAATCACTTTATAGATGTTGAAAATGTGGTCCAGAGAGTGAATCTCTACAAAGTAAATCCCAAACTAATAACCGAAAGAGCCTGTGAGTATTTGACTCCAAGCTCCCTTCTCTTTCTAGTACCAAACTGCTTATACAAGTTTCAACACAGTAAACTTTAACAGTTATACAATGAAATTTTATCTGAATCTCCAATAACTCCCCTCAAAGGAGCTGAGGATGACCCTTAACCAGTATGACTAATCAGAAATATCTGGGGAATTTTTTCAACATACACAAGCCAAGGCTGACGCTATACGTAGTGAATCAGTCTCCAAGGGGTAGGGTCCAGGCCTGTGGTTTCAGAAACGTTTCCCAGGTACATCTGATGCACAGCCTGTTCAAGAACCAGTGGACTTCAGATTATTTTCAGTACCAAACCTCACCTGTTTTTAAAGCACAGATCATTCCGATAGTCCTGAGAAACAACTGGACCAAGAGAACAAACAAGACTTTAGTGCCCAGTTGTGTTTATCTGGCCATCTCTAAGGTTCTAGAATTATTGTTTTGCATGCACTATATAGCAACTCATTCCATCCTGGACTGTATTGAGAAACATGTTTTCTATTCTGTATCTTATGTAATCACAAAAGAGTCTTAGTGTTTGCTTATTGTGCTCAAAGATTCACTTTTATCAATTTATTGATGAAATATCCACTTTTACCAATTTATTTCTATAAAGTGTTTTGCTTATCAGTAATGTCCTCTGCAAAATTCTCATTGCCAGATGTATTACTTTAGGGACTACGTAAATTATGGTGGTCTCTGTCTCACTCACACACACACCTTTTCTCTTCTGCTAGGATCAGCTTTCACAGCTGTGTGCATGGGGGAAGGGGCCTCTCTGGGATATGAACTGAGGAAGGACGCCCCAGTGACCTTTGTTTCCTCTCTCCTACCCCAACTTTCCAGCTCAATCAGCACAGACGTGATTATGTAATCATGCCAATATAAGAGCTACGATTATGTTTACTTCACCCTTCCCCTACCTGTAGGAGATAATACCATTTCAGCTCACCCAGGGAAATATATCAGAATTTTGGCCAACTGCAGAAATGGCCTATATAAATACACTGCTCCCAGAAAATTCTGCCACACCTTCCAGCCTCCGCCAACTCAAACACTGAGTGAGCTGGATTGCTTTCTATTTCATCCCCTGGAGCATCATGGGGTGGAGTGTGTGGACGTAATGTCAGATTCATCCCTATGTGTGACAGCATCAATGAAGTTATAAATATCTAAGGCTTGTGGCATTCCCTAGCGAAGTGTCTCACAATATGCCTTTCATATATCAATAACTAACAGGTTTTGGGGATTTCCTGCTTGCCCGGCTCTAGTCTGAGGTTTAAAGTATTAACTTACTGAACTCTCAAATTAACTGCGCTGGGGAATGTTATTACGCCCACTTTATGGATAAGAACACCGAGGCACAGAGAGGTTGAGTAACCTCCCCCACGATGAAACAGCTAGGAGGCATAATTGGGAGTCAGATGGTGGCATTGCTGACTTCAGAGACTGGCTCTTCCCCAACACCTCCATGGCACACGAGGGCCAGGGTTGGCAAACTCTTCCCGTAAAAGGTCAGAGAGCAAATTTGTTAGGCTTCGTGAGCCATACAGTTTCTGTTGCAACTCTAGACAATATGTCAGTGAATTGTGTTCCAATAACAATGTATTTACAAAAACAGACCAGATTTGGCCTCCAGGTCATAGTTGCTGATCCCTGCTCTAGCCCAGTGGTTCTCAATTTGAGCATGCTTTAAAATCATCAGAAGGGCTTTCGAAAATCAGACCGGTGCCCAGCAACATCCTGAGTTTCTGATTCAGTGGGCTTTGGATGGGGCCCACACTTGGCATCTTTAGCCGTTCCCAAGTGATGCTAATGCTGTGGGTCTAGGAACCACCCTTTGAGAACCACTGCCTAAAGGAACTTTAACAAACACAGTCTGCAGGTTATCTTCTGAAAGCACGTCAACGTTCATGTAAAATCTTACCATTCCTCTAAGTCTTGATGACTTAGAGACTCCTTTGTCTTGCAGTCTCTGGACAAAGACCATGTTTTATCTTCTTGGTATTCACAGTGTCTGAGATGGTGACTTCTGTGTCCTAGGTACTCAAAAATGGTTGCTTGTGGAATGAAACTTAAAGGAATGACAGTAATGCTATGTTAGGTTGTTCCCGTTAATTTTAAAATGTGACGAAAATACTCAGGATTGGAGTAAATCGCTTTAACTCAGAGAATGACATTACCTAAGCTAGGCAACTTGTTTCTATGGTACAGTAAGTCATTTTTCCCAGTTCACTCATTTAAAGAAAATATACACCTTAAGATAGTCCTGAGTTTTGCCCAAGTCACATTAAATGTAGCCTGCCCCAAGTTATGATCCTATATAAGAAGCAGCTCTTGCTTGTCAAGATATTGTTCCTTAGGGATGAAGGACAAAAGAAGTTGTAGGTTATGGGATTTTGCAGAAGGCATTACCAGTCCCGGCAAAACCAGTTCTTACAAAAAGATTGGGATCAGGCTGACTGGACACACCTAGATATAACTTGAGCAAAGGATACCTGCCAGGACTGATTTCCCCCTTGGGTAAACAGCCAGATGCAAGGCAATGTGCAGGCCATTTAAAATCTCAGTGCTGTGACCAAACCAGAGCCTCGTGGTTCACTTTATTTAGAAAAACAGGTGGGAAATTAAAAATCCTCCAAACTATTTTGAATTGGAAAAAGAAAACCTCATTTGGTTTCAAAGCATTTTTTTTTTCACTTTTCCTAACTCTGAGAAAATGTGAACACTGTAGCAGATTAAAAAGACTGCTCGTTGCCTTCCATATACACAAATCAGGGCTTTCCTGCGTCCAAATGTTAATTTGAACTGACAAAACACTCTCGGCACTTTAATTTTATTTCATAACGAAAAGGCAAACTTAACTTCTAAGCATTTTTATTCCAAGTTTAATGGCTTACATTCCCAGGGTCAGCAAGCAGATGGAGTTGGAGACGAGAATGTATAATTGCAGATTATGAAACAGCAAAATTAATATTACTTTGTTAATGTCAAGATAGGATTTGAGAGCTAGAAGGGATTTTCAAGATCATTGATCCTAAACCTCATCATACAGATGAAGACACTGAGGCTGAAGTGATTATGTGTCCTTCACATAACTGGCTTTGCAGAGCCAGTTGGGGACGGAGCTACATCTGCTGCCTGGTCTCCTGGCAATTAGGCCAGTCCTCCCACTGCAGTACACCACTATCCTCATCAATTCCTTACAGGAAAGAGGCTCTTATCTATCCTTCACTGTTTTACCTTTCAGTGTAGAAGTGTGTGTGTGTGTGTGTGTGTGTGTGTGTGTGTGTGTGTGTGAAATAAATGAGAAGGAGGAGGGGGAGGGGGAGGGGGACGAGGAGGAGGAGACGAAGAAGGAGAAGGAAAAGCGAAGAGCCAGAACTGTTGGAGTGCAACCACTTGCAAATTTCCCAGGGACCTAGCTCCTTCCGTCTGTGACTCTGCCATTCTCAGTGGGCTGCCCACATCATCATGGTCCATGGTTAACCATCACCTTGAAAATTCCAGCCAGGAGGGAGGAGAGAAAGAAGTAGAGTGCATACTCTTCCCCCTACAAATGTGCCCTGAATGGCACACATGCATTTCCTTGGCCAGAACTTACTTGCATGGACAGACCTAGATTGTGGGTCACCATGCACCCAGCTAAACATAGTATATAGTATTATATCCAAAAGAAACAATGGTCACTGAGGGCTATCTAGAGGTTTCTTAGTTGACTCGCTGGCCATCCAATATCTGTGCTTACCTTTCATCTCACATAAAGAACACACGTATCCTCGACCTAATGGAGGCAATCTGTGTATGTCTTATTGCTACTGCTTTCACCTTCAAGTTCATGATCTGTACCTAACACACAGTGTTATCCACTAAGTCCAGGCTTCCTCCTCTCAGTTGAACAACTGTAAACTAAAAGACAAGTTTTCTGTGCACCCATTGGATCCAATATAGAATGGTAGAGTAGGAACAGAAACTTCAGTGGCAGACAAATGGCAGTGGTGGATCCCTGCTAATGAATGCATGCTTCCCAAGAGCCACTGCTGTGAGACTGAAGTCACTCCATCTGGTATCCCCTGGGAAACTCTCTGGAAGGAGATCACTAGGAGTGTGTGGGAGGGGGTATTAGTTCATTTTCACACTGTATAAAGATACTACCTGAGACTGGGAAATTTATAAACAAAAGAGGTTTAATTGACTCACAGTTCCTCATGGCTGGGGAGGCCTCAGGAAACTTACAATCAAGGTGGAAAGCAAAAGCAAAGCAAAAAACGTCTTACATGACAGCAGGAGAAAGAGCGCATGCAGGGCAAACTGCCAGACACTTATCAAACAACCAGATCTCATGAGGACTCCCTCACTATCATCAGAACAGCATGGAGGAAACTGCCCCCATGAGCCAATCACGTTCCACCAGGTCCCTCCCTCAACACATGGGGATTACAATTCTAGATGAGATTTGAATGAGCACAGAGAGCCAAGTCATATCAGAGTGCATTGCTCTGGTTCAGCTGGGGCACACACAGCCTTTGCCACTCACCCCCAGCAGGGTGGCCTGAGTCACCAATCAAGCTTGTCTGGTGGCTTCTTTGGCAACACAATTTCCTCAAAAACTTAGCAGGCAACTGTCATTTAAACCTGAAGATTTAGCATCTTTATTTTCTGGACTCTGTGTACTGCCAAAAGTCCTCTCGAGTTAATGGTGTCTACCTTGGCAGTGTCAGGAACATAGTCCTTGTGGGAAGGAAATTCCCCTATTCTGGTCTCTCACTTTTTGGCAGAAAAGTCCATAAGTGAGAAGAGTTAGCAAAATAGGATCACACAGTTCTATCTCCTCCCCTTGCAGTCCATTTGGAACCACCTCTTATCACTGTTTCAGTTTTGGATAAGGTTTGGCTTTATCAAACTTGCAAAGTCCCAAGAGAACTCATATTCACTTCAAGTTGACTGTGGGCCATGAGGATGTTCCCATCATGAGAGGATCTAACTTAGCAGAGCTCTGGTTCTCTTTCATTTTTGCTTGATGTGCAGCTACCTCTAGCCTAAATTTGCCTCTCTCATGAGGACTTCTCTCAAAAGTGTCAAGTGTCAACAAGAAAACATCAACATTCCGAATTTTCTGATCATTTCCCCTACTGTTGGTCATGCCATGTGTTCTTCATCCCAAGATGCTGCAGAGACAATGTCATTAGATGCTTTGTCACTGCATAACAAGGGTCACCAGCTTTCTACCCACCAAAATCTGCACTTTTGCTGTCCACTATCCAGATGCTTTCTCTAAGCCAATGACATCAGATTTGCCAGCTGGATTCTAACAAATGCCATGCACAACATTCTCTTCCAAGTACCAAATTCTGCCATATACATTCAGCTGTGTATGAGAATGATCCAAATTTGCAGTGACCTAAACACAAAATGAGTTTATTGCTTTCTCCCATAAACATCTAATGTGGTAACTGTGCTCCACAAGGTCATAGGGGCACTCAGGTTCCTTCTCCTTGTCATTTTACCATGCCTTGGTAATGTTCTGGTTTTGATGGCCCAATATTTCTCACCACCATATCTGCTTTTCAGCCAATAGGAAGGGAATGAGATGGTTGGTATTATCTTGCCTGCTAAGTAAGGCACAATTT